CTAGGGCACCCCACACTCTCTGGGGTCCCTATGAGGCCTCCTCCAACCCCTACAGCCTCACCCAAGCCTCCAGTTGTAATACAAACACTAACCAAACAAAACACAAGCCTCCTGGCTGTAACTTAACTTAAGGCCACCTGGCTGCAACAATATAGCTCCTGCGCCACAGAGCCACCATCCTTCAGCCTGCTCAAGCATTACTCATATCGTAGCCCCATGAGCTCCTGCCTCTCTGCCAGCCTGGCCGGGAACTACCAGCCTGGCCTCAGCCCTGGGCTTTATAAGGACCAGGCCCTGCCCCCTACAGGCAGCTGGCTCCCCTTAGTTGCTCCAGCAACCCGCAGCTGCGCTTGTTATCCTGGCAACCCTCAGCTGGGCTCGTTGTGCTCTGCCAGGGCTCTCTCCCTGGCAGTTTTCTCCTCTCTAGGAGCAGGCACTAAGGTGCCCTGTGACACGCTGATAAAGAAATAGAACAGTGCGGGCCCAAGGACCGAGTCCTGGGGGACTCCGCTGCCCACTTCCCCCCACGTCGAATATGACCCGTCCACCTCCATACTCTCTGAGTACAGACACCCCGTCCATACTCTCTGAGTATGACCCTTCAGCCAATTAGCAATCCATCTGACCGTGTAGGCATCGATGCCACAGTCACCTAATTTTTTAATGAGGATGGGGTGGGAGACAGTGTCAAAGGCCGTGCTGAAGTCCAGAAAGACTACATCCACAGCGACACCTGCATCCAATGCTTTTGTGACCTGATCATAAAAGGCAATCAGGTTGGTCTGACATGACCTGCCCCTAATGAAACCGTGCTGATCTCTGCATTATAGCCACTGTGCCTTATATATTATGTCCTTACTAGAGGCATAAGATGAACTTGGCTTTTTGCATTTTCTGTTAATGAAGAAGGGTGCATTTGTACCAGCATTCTCAAGACACACCGTGGTTCTTGTTTGTTTTTCTGAACTGTGTTATTAGGAATGTTGCAAAATGTATGAAGTATATGAAATGAATTGTTTATGTTTCTATTGTTTCTGTTTTCTATTTAAGGTTCTTTTAGATGTATCCTTCCTTAAGAAGGAGCTCCATTGGTTGTAGAGGTTCATTCTCTCTGACTGGTTGTAGCACCACATTCCAAATTCTTCTGGGCAGTCCCTACTCTCTCCTCCTTCCTTCCATGATATCTCCTTACATCATACCCTACTTGAGACTCTCTCGTGTATTTTGGCGCACCTGCATACTCTCTGTGGTCTCCCATTCTCCCCTGACATGACTTCACACCTTCTCCTGCCTGACACAGTTCTCCACCCACTCCTCCCTTTGAGGCCTCCTCCTCTTTCTTTATATACCTCTACACCCTCTCTACTCCCTCTCCTGGTTT